GGGATAATCTTGCATGTAATGACCAAATGCACAAAACAATGCTTGAACACAATGGTTAGGCATTTAATTATGGAGTGCAAACTTGGTTTAGAGGCCTGCAAGCAAGTACCAAGCATGCTGATTTGAAAATGGAACTTGTATGAACATGCATTTGGTTATGAACAAAAGTGAATTTTGCCCAACTTTTCAAATTCGAATCTCCCTAACCACAAGGGTGTTTGAGGAGTTCTTGGACAATTTGGAAAGCTTGGAATGTGTACTACAATCCATATTTGTAATGCAAATTGAAACTCCAAGTGGAAGCATGTGAAAAATGGCCAAGAAGTTGGACAAAAATCCTGCCTAGAATAGGTCAAAATTTCTCTAAGTTAAAAATGTTTTACACCCTTGTTCCAAAAATCATAACTTGAGATACAAGATTCCTTTGAGAAAGCTTTGTGAATCAAAGTTGTAGATTTGGAAATGGACTACAACTTTCATGTTTTGAGTTTTGTTTGAATCCATTTTTATCTTGATGAAAAAATGGGACAAAGTTAGGGAAAAATAAGGGAATTTCATAACTTAGAAAATTTCTAAGTTATGAAATTTCTTCATTTTAAACCCTAATTTGCCATTTTTGATTTCTTGATGAACAAGTTTCATAATTTGACATGTCTTGATGAAAAATGGATCTTGGCACTTGCTTTTGACCAAAAAGTCAAAGTTTGACTTTTCAGTATACAGTCAAATTTTGATCAGTTGACTGATTCATCTGTCAATCCTGTGCATTTGGGATCTTTTGAACTTGTTGAATGGGTCAAGACAATTCCAATGAGTCCTTGAGTCCATATGTGAGCTTGATTTGCCATTGATTAGGTCAAACAGTCAAAAATTACCTTTGTGCAGTCAAAACCCTAAAAATGACCATTTTGCCCTTTTGGTGATCTGATCAAATTTCTTGTGGAATTGTGATCCAAACTTGACCAAATGGTTCATATGAGTTCATTATGTTGATGTGGGTCAAATTTCATGAGGTTTGACTGTCAATTGGCCATAGTTGACTTTTTCCCCAATACAACTGATTTCTAGGTCAACTGTCCAATTGACTGGGCAAAGATTGGAATCAAGGCTTAAAACTTGGTATGGATAAACTTGTGAGTCCAACATGAAGCATTAAAGTCACTTTGGGCATTTTAGGTCAAAACATCTTTGTGCAAATTCAAACCCTAATTTGGGTCAACAGTGCAAGGAGGAGTCTTGAGCAGAGCAAACCCTGACTTGATCTTGAGCTCCAAGGGTCTTGTGGTGAGAAAATGTTGATGAAATGAGAGGGAAAATTTTGGGGTACAACACATGTTACAAGCTTTCTGAAAAGTCTGAGAACTCTTTCAGATCATGCTGGAGCAGGGAGAATCAAAGATCAGAAGTTAGACATTTATTCTTAATCTAAGTTACGTTTATGCTGAACTTTTGATCCGATTTCAAGATATACTGCATAATCTCATGTTGCAGGCCTTCTTGCTTGTTAAATCTCATCATAGTTTAATGCTTACACCAACTTTTAAGTTTTTATCCTAGTGTTTAAGTCTTTGTCCAAAAGATATTCCCACGTGTGGCATAAAAGTACCACTGTTGTCCTTGAAAAGCAAACTTTTGTACAAAGTTCATTTTAAGCCCATACTTTACTTTGTTTCTGAGTGTACTTCCCCATAAATCATGCCTACAAACTCATATTAGGCGTACTTAAAGTTGTCCTACCTTGCCTTGAAACCATGCTTGTCTAAACTTGCTTCAAAAATAAGTCAACGATCCATAACACATGATGATTGTACTCTTGACTTCTCCAAACTTCTAAATCCTTTTCCTATAAATTAAACTTCATTTTCAAAGTGAAGGAAGATTGGAAAAAAGCCCTGAAACCTTACTGAAAATTCCCAAGAACCTGAAACTGCAATACAAACACAAAACCTACTAGTTTCTGATTTTTGCATCCAAACTCTAATTTTCCTTGTGCGTTTCTTGGCCAAATCATCCACACAGTTTCTGGTATACACGTATAGGCTTTCCCAACTTCTGTTTTCAAACTGTAATACAATCTTCACCAATCTCCATTTCAAAAATCAGAACTTTGCATCTTGACTGCTCCAGAGCATTCCAACCATCCATAGCTCAAGTAAAGGATTGCTTTAGCTTTATGAGAACCCGAGGAAGCTGACCAGAATATCACAGCAATATGAACCATGCTCTAACTCATAGAAAAATTTCCAGTTGCAAGGTAAGTTTCTTCTGACTTTCATCTTATTACTTAGGCGTTGTTAAGCTTGAAAATTTAAAGACACAATGTAGATATTATGGCTCTGAATCTGTACATATTTATATATTTCATTTATATGGCCTAAGTAGAGAGAATTTCAGATCAGAACTTCTTGAGAAAATTAGAGTTCAGAATTAGGATTAACAAATTTCATGCTTGCTTCTGGTTTACAGTTTTGATGCTTTGTATTTCTGAAACCATGATGAAATTTTCCATAACTTCTATGTTTGCATTTTCCATTTTTGTTGAGAAAGGATTAAGTTGCAGATACTCTGGCTGGCGTGAAGAAGAAGATGAAGTTCATCATCAAAACTTACTTTGTAATATATGTTTATGTTTTTGCTTCTAATACCATATGTACAGCCACCCCAGTGGTAGAGAGCGCGTGCATAAGGCATTAGTGTTAAGGATCCGGGGTTCTAGTCCCAAAATCACCTTTTATGTTTTTTTCTTAACATTTTACCCCATTATTTTTCAAACAACATTCCTGGACCAAAACTTCTAGATAACCCCCCCCCCCCCCCCCCCCCCATTTGTTTGTTAAAACAGTACTCCTGGACCAGAACTTCTAGATATTCTCATCCAACAACATCGTCACCTCACTTACCCATTAACAGAACTTATAGCCTTCTAGTAACACTAGAACTTCTAGGTTTCCAACTGCATCAGAACTTCTAGGCTCTCTCAGCAATAAAAAATTCTAGGCTTTCCTTTATTCCCAGCAACCCCAGAATTTTAGCACGTCTGGATCCAGAACTTCTGGCCTTCCCCATTTCTACTAACATTTTCTTTCTGATTTGCAGCACGCCTGAGTCAGAACTTATGCTCTCTCTTATTTCTATTCCTTCTGCAACACGCTGACTCTAACTCTTATTCTCTTATTATTTTTATCATCACTTTTATTTTCATTAATCAAAAACACAAAAAGTACTTTATATTCATATACTTTGCTTTATTTCTTTTAAAATAAAAAGATTAAAAACCTTACCTTAAGCAAATTTATTTCTTCTCTTAATAAAAATAAAACAAATCTATTTTACATTTCAATTCTTGTACATTATTTCAATATGGTTGTAATAGATAATTAGAAATTTAATTTCTTGCAACCCCCATTTGTAAATTTGTACACCCCGTCCACAAGTGATTGTAATAGTGTAGGATATTTACTTTCCGTAGTTTATCACTTTCATATAAATGCTAGTAATTAGGTTTTGTATGGAAAGATAAAATCAATACTTAGAAAGCCCTAATTCAAGATAAATCAAGCATGAAATACAAACACTTGCACACTTGAACCTCTAGGGTTAACTCCACTTGTTGCCTTATAGAAAAAAGGTCATGTTATGCATGTGAGATATCTTAGCAAAAATCATCAAAAAATACAAGATCATAGTCCCTCGATGACGTTTCGAATGTTGCCTTACAAATGATCTTAGTCCCTTATGAGAAATGCTAAGATATCTCACAACATTGCTATCATGACTATACGATGACCCACGCCCGTCCCTTTACATCCAAAGATAAGGCTTCTTACCAATCAATGGTAAGATAACAACATCTAAAGGAGGAGGAAAAGAACAAAGACTTTTGAGTAGGTAGAAACATTCTTAGTTGCTTGCTCATCTTCAAACCTAGGCACCTTTTTAAATGCACCAACACTTTCCATGAAATATTTTCCAAAGTCCAATACTTTGTATACATTCTTATAGAGACGAGAATCATTACAAAGTTTGCCTAAACGAAGGCTATTTTTCAAAATACTTTCAAAAACCATCCCAAAGCACACTTTCAAACAAAAGCAATGATCTAGAAAGCAACTAAGAGCCCATAGATAACTATGGATGAAAAGGGTGCTAACACATTCCCTTTTCATAATCTACCCCCTGAACTCAAGAAAATAATCTCAAAGATCTTTCCCGTTCTTTTCACCCTTTCCTTTATTCGATAAAAGAAAAGTCGGTGGCGACTCTTGCTATCTGCAACAATTGCGATAAAATGCAAAACACACCAAGTCAGTTCTCCCACCGTATTACATATTCCTTATGTTTCTTTTAGCCTTGCACGTTTTCATTGTTATTTATGGCTTATGCGAAATGTTGAAGAAGATGAAGATAGAGGTGCAGTGGGGTGAAGATGATGATGATATTGAAGCGTGAATGTTGAAGATGGAAGAGAGAGTGTAGAGGATTTCTGGTTTTCAGCGAAAATTTAGAGAGACTTTGTTAGAGTTTTTGTGGTGATTGTCTCAGAATGAATGAAGAATGATCGTAGAAAAATGGAGATAATGCAAGAACTTTGAAGATGATGAGGCATAAAGCAGAGAGAGCTCAAAGGTGAAGTTGGTGGTGATTCTCCAAAATTGTTGAAGATCGAAGATAAGGGGGGAAGAGAGATTTCTTATCTGATTTTGTGATTCTTGTGCAGAAGTGAAGAATGAAGAATCCCTTGATAAATCTGGTGAGTTCTGTTATATAGCTGGTTAGAGATTAGAAAGTTAGTTAGAGGTTGAATAAATCTGAATTGTTGATTTGAATTTTCTGTTAAAGATCTGAATGGTTGGGATTTATTTTGTTATGAGCTTACACCTCCTCTGAGTTTTTCTGATTCTGATTAAATCGTGAATTATTTTTTATTTATTTATTATGATGTACACCTTGGTTATAAACTGATTTGGTGTGTCATGAAATTGATTATACAACTTGTTTTGATGTGCAACTTGGTATTTGGCAGCTGGCTTGGCCTTGACTACAACTTGGCAGCATGTTTCATTTTAGCAGCAGGCTTAGCCTTAGCAGTTGGCTTGGTTTTCGCAGCCGGATTGGGCTTGGAAGCAGCATGCTTCTTACTTCTGGTTTTCTGTTTTCACGGGTATACTGGTATTTCTTCTGACATTTCTGATCTTTTCCTCATATTGTTAAGCTGAGATAATAAGAAATTCTGTTATAATAGAAGTCAGTCCGAAAAATTTGTTTGAAGCTAGAAAAGCAAAGAGAACTTTGTTAATGATTGTTATCTTTTTGGATGCTCAATTAACTTGGTCTGATTGTGTTTTCTGGGTAACTGATTTGCTTCTGATTTTTATATGGTGAATTTTTTGGTTATGCAGGTTTGGTTGTGAATTGTTTCCTGAACCGAACTTGCATTGCAGGGCTGGCTTTAATGGTTGAATTGATCATTGTTTTTTTAAACAAGTTGTGGGTTTTGAAGTTTTATTGTGTTGTTATGCAGGATTGTCGTGCATTGGTTTGATGGCCTGAAGAAATTGAAGCACGAAGGATTTGAAGTTTAGCATGGAATTTCTTGTTGAAGATTAGCTTTAGGTTTATTTTACATATGGTTTTCCATGTAACTTTCTTGTAACATTAATTTGAACTTGTAACAACTTGAAATCGTAATGGATTTCCTTTCCCCTCTAAATCTCCTCACTTGAATTTTCAAAGTCTTTTCTCAAATCTTGAATGAACATTAAAGAAATGTAGTGATCCTTGTTACTTGAATCGTGAATGTAGTATCTTGTGATGCAATTGTATTTTTATGACTAATGTGAAGCATGGAATGTAACTTTTGAAGTTGTAATGATAATTAAATTAAATCTTGAATTCACATGGATGTACCAATCTTTTTCATCTTATTAACTTTGAATTTTAAATCTTCCCTTGACTTTCGGCTTTAAGTTCAAGAAATCCATAGTACAAAACTCCTTTCAATTGTAACATGAATGAATCCTTTCCTCTATCAATAATCCACATTAGCTTGTATTGTAAGCAAAAAGTAACGATGATGAGAACAAAAATGGCCTTGATCAACATGAATCTACAACACCATCTCTTATGCCATGACCTCATACTTTTCAATTCAAACCCACGAGCCCTTTGTCTTGTCAAGAAATGTCTCTGTGGAGTCCTTGAAGAAGATAAAACTTAAAGCATAGAAATACATCCTCTAATCATTTCTCATTGATGAACATCAACAAACTCACACACACAAGATGGAAAACCTCAACCTACTTGCATTAGGTGCACAATGACGACTTGAGACATGGATAGAATAATGTTCAAGATATCTTTGAAATGAAACAAACCATGATCTCTCGATAGACATAGGGAAATAAACCTTAATCTTTAGCCTTAATGAATAAAACCTTGCAACTTGATGTTGAGAAGAAGAGAATATCCTTGTAGCTTGATAAAGGAGAAATTCACAACAACCATGGATCAAAACCCTTTGTAAGAAAATCCAAGAAGTGATGACGGAACTTGTAACACAAGTAATGGATGGAGGTCCTTGATTCTGAAGGAGAGAGACTCAAGATAGCCATAAGATGTAACCCTAATTCCAATGCTCATTGCTTGAAGAAGAAATCAGCCTTTATGGGATACGAACGCCTTAACCAGTGTAAAACCCTAATATTGCACAACCACTGAACTTTGAATCTCAAGCGCTTTATTGAATGCAATGCATGCTATGTTAGTGACTTAATGGAATATATGAAGATGAATGCAAAAGTATAAGCCAGATAAAAGAAATCAGGAGGGCACATTTTGGGGTGCAACATCCATCTCTAAGGCAAGGATCATGCAAGCAATGAGAGCCTCATACTTCGTCTGGCTGTTGCTGGAGGTAAACTCGAATTTTAGTTCCTGCTCGATCAGTATGTCGCCAGGTCCTTCCAAGACTATCCTGATGTCATTTCCATTCACGTTGGAGGTGTCATAACACCCATTCCAGGGGCATCTCTTCGTCTATAGGTAAGCTGAATTCTGCCACAAAATTTTCCATAGCTTGTGATTTGATGCTTCCCCTTAAGACATATTAGATGCCGTATTTTGAGAGTTCCACTTCCCAATATACCATTATTTCTACTAAATCGGATTTCTTTAAGACTTTACGAACATGATAGTTGATTTTAGCCAGGATCTTGTGACATTGAAAGTATGGTTTCAGTTTTCTCGTTGCAACGACAACAGCTAGCACCACCATCCCAATTTTATGATAGTGCACTTTGACACATATGAACACATTGCTTATGAAATACACAAGCCTATTTGTCCTGTCTATCACCTATACAAGGACTGAGCTCATAGCCTGACTTGTAGCTGAGAAATAGAGGAGTAGTGGTGACTCTTCCCTCGAAAGAGTGAAGACGAAGGGTGATATGAAGAAGTCATTTACCTTTGTGAAATCTTCTTCGTACTCGACAGTCTATTCAAATCTCTCCTTATTCTTTAAGGTTACAAAGAAGAGGAAAGCCTTTTCGGTTGCACAAGAGGTGAAGCGAGATAGGGCGACAAAGAGACATGAACGCTATTGTACCTTCTTTATATCAGTGGAACTCCTCATGGTGATGACCGCTTGGAACTTATGCGAGTTGGCCTCGATTCCCCCTCATTGTTAGCATGAAACCTAGGAATTTTCCAGCCTAAACCCTGAAAGAGAATTTGGCAGGATTTAGGCACATATCATGCTTTTTGACTGACTATAAGACATCCTTAATTTTTCCTGCATGGATGCGCCCTTTGATAGTATTAAGTATCATATCATCGACGTACACCTCCAGGTTTCACCCTATCAGGTGGGAGAAGACACCACTGTACCGGTGAAAAAGTACATGCGTGTATTCCTCCTACAAGGGCAAAGGGAGTCAGAGGCCTTAGTATGTATATTACACTATATAGTTGTTAGGGCTTACCCACGGTTGCGAGAAGCCACGTATGGTGGTGTTTTATAGTGGCTTAGATGTCCTACTAACGTGAGGTGGGAGACTCTGTTATTGAGTGATGTACTTATATATAAGCGTATATGAGGTGTGATATATATGGTTTAAGATATGTCATTTCTCCCCCTGGGGAGAGGTATTTATAGGATCCTTTCGAGCCTAGAATTCTCTTGGAAAGGGTCACCCTCACCTAGTCAATGATGGGTCGTTGAATCCCTATTTCTAAGGGGTATATGATTTAGTTAACGACCACGACTTCTCTCTGCCCAAGAAATATCTTATCTCACGTTTCTCACGACTGGGTGATGGGAAACCCTCGAGGCGAGGCGATACCTTCTTGGGGTGCCATGTTATCATTGCCTCGCCCTAGGCGGTTCCTTTTATAAATATAACACTACATTAAAGAGTCAGAGAAGCCGATTATTCCATATGAGTGTTGATGGACACGATGTGTTCTAGAGGGTCGTTTTTTCCATCAAACTTCACTAGTGATAACGGTTTGAAGTTTTATGGTATGAAAACGCCCCAATTTCATTGGACATAAGTTGATGATCCAGAACATCATTGTCTTCTGGCGGGTTGTCATCGTGACGCTGTTCTTGAAGGAACAAGATGTTACCCTATAAGGTTTTGTTAGAACGAGACAATTAAATGTTGAGTGAATATGTAGCCTAGGTCAATTTTACTAAGTCCCCACAGTGAACGCCAATTGTACTTGTGATAAATACAATAATGTGAAGTTTGCATGTGCTGGAGAGAGCAAAAAGGACTTTAAGATTCTGATTACATAAAAGTGAATGATCCCCTCCAATCCCAGGGTTTGAGATCTTTATAGACTTAACTAATCAATCAAGTCGTGGATGCAAAACCGATTCAATTCTATCTGTTTGGCGTGGGAATAAGAGACACAATCCTTCCATAGTAATATGAGGAGTCGTTTCTTCCTGGTAAATGTAACGATAACAACCTTTTTTAGAACGCATGGTCCACCATATGCTGATAGTGTCGTGACCTAATAACTTGGATTTGAGCCAAACTTCCATGACCCTCCATGTCATACCCGTTCGAGTAAGCCTTTAACCTCTTACAACAATCTTAGATCGATATACCACAAATTAGTCTCTCAGTAACGATTTATAAATAAAAACACATTTTTTATAACAAATTATAACTAAAAACATCAATTTTATTTTATTAAAAAAATACATCTTTCCCGATGTAAAATTAAGCATAAATTACATTTAATTTACTTTATCTATCATTTTTTTCATAAACAACCACTAATTAAAATAATTTTTGCACCTTAAAACATATTTAAGAAAAACACAAAAACTTAAAATATTCGCTTTTACTTATGAAAATAGGGAGAGAAAGATAAAGAAGAAAATTGTATATTTTGAGAGTCTTCCTTGGAATTTACAATTATCCAAAAAAACAAACCACAAACAATAAGCAGAAAATCATAGTAGGAATAACACAGCGATGAGTGTTCAATTTCAACTATCATCATGCTTATGGACTCCCAACTCTCCATCTCCACAATTTTCTGCAAAGTTTCTCCCCAACCGTCCAAGATTCTCCACATCACCTCTCCCTGCCACACCAACACTCTCATCTCAATCTCCAACCATTCAGGTAACTCTTCATTGTTGTGTAGTTGGTGTTTCTGAAATTCAACTTAAGAACTTGAATACACCCAAACCCTCAATTTAATTCATTGATTAAAATTGATTATTGTTAATTTTTTCTTTGTGATTGAGAATGTTGCAGATAATTGGCAACAACACATTTGATGGTAACCTACGGGAGACTGATATTTGGACTGCTATTGACACTGATCTTTCTCACTGGACAAATGTTTTGCGTCCTGTGCAGGTGTATATTATGTTATGCGCTTTGTGTGTATGTGTTGGTTGTTTGTTGCTTCATTGTAAAATTTGGGGTGCTGATTATTTTTGGTAATTTGACAGTGGTTTCCTGGTCATATTGCAAAAGCAGAAAAGGAACTGAAGGAACAACTTAAGTTGATGGATGTTGTTATAGAGGTTCGGGACGGTCGTATTCCGTTGTCCACAAGTCATCCACAGGCATGTTTTCGTCAATAATGTGCATGTTTGGCTTTTTGTACGTGGGCGATACATCTTACTTCTGCTTTTGCAGATGGATTTATGGCTTGGTAATAGAAAGAGAATTTTGGTTTTAAATAGAGAAGACATGATATCGACTGCAGATCGAAATGCTTGGGCAGAATATTTTGCTAAGCTTGGAACAAAGGTTGTCTTCTCCAATGGGAAGCTTGGAATGGTATCCTAACATGTTTTGTTCTTCTCCTACTCTCCATGTTCTGAAGGTTCGTGTTCAACATATCTGATTTTGTGATTTATGTACAGGGCACTTTGAAGCTTGGCCGGTTAGCAAAGGAATTGGCAGCTGATGTAAATGTTAAACGGAAGGCTAAAGGATTACTTCCTCGTCCGGTGGGTTGCCTGTATGGATATACCAGTTTTTGCGACTCAATTTTAAATTAAAAGTACCACTTTTCCATCTCAAGGAGTAACAAAATGTATAACTGATTAGAGATGAAACGAACTGAATGCATACTAGTTTTGCAACGCTCTTTATCTCTTACAATTTTCATGCAGTTCCTGTCCTCATTGATGTGAAAAATTGTTGTCATTTGTGAATGTTACAAGGTATCTAAGTTTTTCTTGTTTTTTTACTAAGTTTCATCTTGCTAACATGATGCAACAGAAATGATATTTTGCTGATTTCTTTTTACAATTTTGCTAATCACTAATGTGAATTATTATGTACTATGGAAGTAAACTTTGCGATCATGAACCACAGAACCTGCACATGGAAATTTTTTCCCTTTAATTGATAGATAATCGTTGCAGTATACTAATGCTTCCCAAAATATTATTGTTATTATAACTAAATAAAAGAACGCATCTTACTATTGAATAGATTCGAGCTGGAATAGTTGGATACCCTAATGTTGGAAAGTCGTCTTTGATCAACCGTTTGTTAAAGCGAAGAATGTGCCCAGCAGCTCCAAGGCCAGGAGTTACAAGAACATTGAGGTAACTTATTCATTTTATTTCCCTAAATATTTCCTACAAAACATTTCTTATTTGTAGTTTGTTCAACTTGTTAGCTGGTTCTAATATCAGTATTGTTGAGTTGTATTTTGCCTGTTTTTATGCTAAATATGCCCATAATGTTTTCAAGAATACTCTCTCCCCGTGCACAACTAAAACATCAAAACAAATTGAACGGACTTCAAATCCTAATGGATGCAACATGTCTTTTGGTTTACATCCCAAAGCTGAAAAATATAGTTTTTGGGGTTGACCTTCCTCTCAAGTCTCAACAGAGGAAAAAGCCAATGCTGGTTTATTTTGTTTTAGTTGGTAATAGTGTCAAAAAGATTTTGTTGCTAACTTAAATCACAATTAATCTGTTGAGTGGGCCTAGTTAACATTCCAGTAAATGCTTAGTTTTTGGAGAAAGGGGATTGTTTTTGCTTTCTTTTATGCATTTGGGTTTAATTTACTCTAGTTATTAGGAAAAGTTTTTGCTTCCTGTTGCAATCACTACGCGCTACAAAGCATTGACACGGACATGTCGACACCGCCACCGGGCGGTAAAAGTTTAAGAAAATGACGTAATTAAGTGCAATCACATCTCTGTGTCGTGTTGGTCCCTTACCCCGACACGCGTTGGACAAGTGACACGCCTTCAATCAGAAGTGTCAATGCGGCAGAGCAGTGTCGCAACACTTGAAGGATTTATATCCCAAATGTTGAAAATTTAGCTTCTAGGGGTTTTATTTTTCTGAGGGAAGAAATTAATTGTGGTATATTCTGTGTGAGTGTTAATAGGTCAAATTCAGTTTCCTGCATAGTTTATCACAGTTAATTTGTTCTGACTAGAAGTTGGAGCTCAACAAGAAACAATGATGGATCTCTCATAACATACTGAATACATGATTTATTTTATTCTTTTCTTAATATAAAAGGTGGATTCGATTTGGGAAAGATCTTGAATTGCTGGATTCTCCCGGGATACTTCCTATGCGAATCAGTGACCAGTCAGCCGCTATAAAACTTGCCATATGTGATGACATTGGAGAGAGATCCTATGATGTGGATGATGTTGCTGCAATTCTTGTACAGATGCTCTCAAAGCTTCCAGCTGTAGGTATGTGTCGTCATGACATGTAGCCATTGAAATCCTATTTCAGTTTATAAAAATAACTGTTTCATGATCTCAAAGTTCTAACTTAATATTCCCTGACTTTGTTCAATGCAGGTCGAGATGCACTTTGTAAACGATACAAGTTTCACGTAGACAGTGAATGTGGTAAAATGTATGCCATTGATTTGTTTTCTATAAGAAAATTCTTTTATAGTTTATAACTTAAGTAACTTCTTTTGAATTCGGTATCATGTATTTACTTAATTGTAGATTCGTAGAGAAGCTTGCGCTTCATTTGTTCAATGGAGATGTTCATCAAGCAGCATTCCGAGTCCTGTCAGATTTTAGAAAAGGTAGGTTTGGTTGGACTGCACTGGAGAGGCCTTCTAGGTGATGTCAAATGTTTGCTTTTAGAAGCAACACTCTGAAGCTAGAATTGAAAATTATGCTGGAGATTACTTGGAGCAGACTGAAGAACTCGTCGAGTCATTCTATACTAGGATTGTGAATGACATCATGAAAAGTAAAGGCCATGAATTTTCTTGGAAGATTTAAAGCACACTAAACAAATGATTTGAAGCAATAGAGGCTTGTTATTACCATGTAATTATTTTTTGGTCTACTGTCTCTGTATACAACTAGTGTTGTGGCATAGGATATATTGTATGCATCATGCTAACAGTGTTTTTATTGTGTATCATTAATGGTTTATTATAGTGTAATGATGATAGTAAGTACCCTAATTGTTCAAGTATGTAAACACAGGATAGTTCCTAAGGATGAACTACTCCATAGAAAACCCGAGATAGAATACAAAAAGCCCTCAGAAAATTACTAATGATAAAATACACTCTTCCTCTCAATCCCTCAACTTCCCTTTTTTTTTTCCTTCCTAAGTCTTCTCTTTTAGAGTCCACCTTGTCTTGATCTAATGGGCTCCTCTCTATGATGTCCAGACCCATTAGGTTGTATCTCTAAAGTCCATACAGCTCGTTGGTACAGGAGCGTGGAGTTGAACGCGTGCAACTTACACCACTCTTCTGCATGAGAGTGGATTTGAGCATGCACAACTTACACCACCCTTCCGTACAAGACCTTGCAGTTGAGCACACTGCGCTGGGACATGCCATAGGGACACCCTAAGGGGAGCTTTAAGGATTTTGGTGTATCTCATCAAAGTTAAAACTCGAAATAAAAGAATGTCCAAGTTGAGCTAAACGCATCAAAGCGCTTGAGTTGAGCTAGACCTGCTCTATGTCGCATGGTCACACATGCCGATCTACTAATGATTCTCAACAACCTTCTGTTTTTACCGTCCTCTTGAAGTTATAGACTTTATGCTTTGCGTGGAGGATCAAATCAAATTTCATAAAGAGACAAGTGTCAAATATATTGCTTTCATTGAAGACTATGTAACAACCACAGGTACTATAGGAAACCCACACAAATTGTAAGGGATATAAAAATTCATTACAACCTCTATTCTGTTACATGCTTGCAATTTCAAACAAGTGTACAACAAAAACAAAACAGAAAAAGCTAAATAAAAATTGAAGCAGAACAAACAACAACAATGTTCTTAAAAAAATGGTTTAATTACTATGGTGTATATTCATCAATCTTTTTTCTTTGAATTCATTGAATTGTCGAACAACAATGATACATTGTGTGGTGCTTGCACACTACCATCTTGCAATTGTGGCAGCACATGGAGGCTCATCTTTGTTTGACCAACTTTCTTTAATTCTACAAGCCTGCATTGGTCTTTCAATTTGAAGTGTTTCTGAACCTTCCTTCTCCAATAGCAAACAATATCTTCCAAATGTGTCTACACTAACCTGAAGTCTAAAATCTATACCAAACAAAAAGCTCAATTCCAATCTGTTTAATTCTGATGTACTTACACCTCCAACTTTAGCATAGTAAGCATTATTGAAGAATCTGCAAAACCAAATAGAGAGCTATGTTAGCATCTTGAACAAATAATGACAATGAAAGCCAATCAAAATGGCACTTACGCGTCATCGATAAACTTTGCTGCTAGCATAATGCTGGTTATGAGAAGCCGGTGCACATTAAGTGAGGTCAATTTGATCTCTGTGTGCTGAATGAACCTATCCACATATACATGCGCGACAACAAAACACGATGGGCTGCAACTCGAGTACTTAAAGATACGGTCAATGTACTTACGAACACTCAGAGCAGGCGCTCTTAAACCGTGAAACACTGTAACAACATCTTCTACATGTTTCGTTTCCAATAGCATTTCATTTCTCTGAACAGATCTCTCAAGAAGTGAAGCGAGAAGTGACAAAACCCTTGGAACTCCAACACCTTTATCGATATCTTTAAGGCCCAACGAAAGGTATATATCCGAGGTTACATCATCGGGTTCAAGCGACAGAGTCCCCATATACAAGCTGCAAAGAAATGGACAGTCAATAATAACCTTTGATCTGGTGTAGACACAAACATAGGATATCTAGTCCTACAGTCTTCAAACATGAAAGGTAACTACATGTTTGGTTAGATCTAAATAAAACCATAATTAGGTATCTAGAATGCAAAATCCAAAAGCACCTAGATAGATCTCAAGTCTCTTATCATAAACCAATCACACCCAGATCCTAAAGAGATCAACTTTCAACCCCACCACCCCAGAAGTTAGAAACCAAACATTAACATAACATACATAAAAAATAATGAATTTTTAAGCTTTTTCACCTGCATATACTATGAAACTATCCTGAACCCGAAAACAAAACAAAACAGAAAAAACTGAAGAAAAATGAAAGAGACAAGAAACTCACAAATTATCAAGTGATAATAACTCTAATAATAGAGTAATGGTGATTGCAGCTTTTGTTACATATGGTTGAAGCTTGAAACAAGTTCAGTTGTGAACACAGAAAAACCATGTCTATGTCTGCGCCATGTTTTTTTCTTTCTTTTTTCAGATGATGTTTGTTTCTACACAGTGGACATTGATATTGTTACTCACACACACAAAGATAAATAAAGCTTCACTTTATTTTTTCTTTAATTAATTAATTCTACACCACCCTACCATACATATACATTTTCAAAATACCTTCCATTTTCATAACAAAAGTTGGTACTAAATCAACATGCTTTCAGGGTCCCACTAATTTTCAATCAGTATAGGATAATATTTATTTGGAGTAATAATAATAATAATAAAAACGGTGGTACACATATATAAATAAATGGAAATAACATGAGGCAAATACAAAAAAGAAAAAGTGGTGTTTACTAGTTTGTGGCTTAGTTTTGAAGAATATGCGTTTGGTGTCACATAAAATGACAAAACCAGCTCTGTATGGGTTGGCCATGGTTGATCCACCGCACCAATTCATTAATATTCTAATTATTTATGTAAAAAAAGAAATATATTCAAATTATTTAAACTTTAATTTTTCTCTCAAAAATTGGTTTAGTAAAAAATGTAAAAAAAATGAGTTTACTCTTTTTTTTACTAAATATTTTATTAGGTAGAATGCGAAATGTACAAGACAATCAAGTGTTAGCGTAAAGCGGTAAGAATATTTTTCGCCGTGATGAGGGGATGATACTCAATTAAAAGATCTTTAGGATATAAAAAAAAAAAAAAAAACTTAAGTATATTTAGATTTAAAATCTATCTTTTACTATTAGATGAAATAGTAATGTTTTTAGTGAAATAGTAATGTGGGGTATGAGTAAACGATCAACTACAATGAATTTAAATGTGACAATGATATATGCTTTGTGTTAATGTCATTTAATTTATCTTTAAAATAAAAGTATCGTTTTCTTTATATTATTATATCCATTTAAGTGTTATGACTCAAGGTTCAATCTTATGTTATTTAAGATATTATGATTGTTCATAATTGTATAATAAATTTCAAATGCATTACATGTATGTTCAATGTCATAAATAATAAGAGTTGTTTTAAGAGAATTAAAATTAATTCTGAAAGTTTAAATTTAATTTTGATACATGTTTATGTTTAACAGGACTAAACCATAAGATAATATTGGATATGATAATTTTATGATCCTGATTGTTTCGGGTATATAAATTTGATAAATAATGTTTATTGTTGTTTTCCGTACTTGTATTTGTTGGTGTATAAAAGAGAGATCAAAGATAAAAAGAATATATTAAGTGACGGCTACAAAATAAAGAGTAATGAATATATTGACTTACCTACTATTAGGCTATTTATACACAATATTAGAGTATAATAAAATACTAAAATATCCTCTAACAGACTTAGTCAACAAGACAATCCTACAATATAAATTATTTCCAACACCATTCCTTAATTTATATTTACACAAAACTGACAACACCAATTTCATCTCTCAAACAAAGAAATTGATCAGTCTTGATAGCTTTTATTAGAACGTCCGTCAGCTACTTCTAGGTGTTACAGTGCACAACTTCTAATATTACACTCTGAACCCGATTTCTCAGAAAGTGATACTTGATCTCAATATGCTTGCTTCTCCCATGCAACAATGGATTCTTGACAATATTGATTGCAGACTTATTATCAATCATCAACTTCATAGGCTTGTTTACCTCGATCTTCAGATCCTGCAGCAAGTTCAGAATCCACACAGCTTGGCATGCAAGTCAAAGCGCTTGTAATATATTCAGCTTCACAGGTTGACAGCGCAACAACATGTTTCTTCTCGGAACACTAAGAAATATGACCTCCCATAAATTTGAATAAGTACCCAAAATCACTTCTCCTGTCAACTCTGTCTCCACACCAATCAGAGTTTGAATAACACAGAAGTTCTGATTCGATTTTTCTTCCAGAAGGAAATAACACTCCATACTTCAGAGTTCTCTTCACATACCCTAGAATCCTCACAGCAGCTTGGTAATGAGACCATTTTGGTTTATTCGTAAATCTGCTAACCATTCCAACTGCATAGCAAATATCAGGCCTGATATTACACAAATACCTTAGAGAACCAGCCAACTGTTTGAAGTTTGCAGCATCCACATCCTCTCCATCAGAATCAGAGTCCAACTTCTGATTCGTATCAGCAAGTGTGATAACAATTTTGCAATTCTCCAACTTAAATATCTTCAGAAGCTCAAGTTGATGCAAAATGGTTCCTTTCTCAGAGTACATAAACTTCACCCCTATAAAGCAACTCATTTTCTTAAGATCTGTCATCTCAAACTCATTCATCAGAACCTTCTTGAACTTAGCTATCTCTTGTTCAGAACTTCCTGTTAGCAATATGTCATCACATACAAACATACCAGAATCATATTGCCTTATGAAGTGTGTTAAACATAAACACCATACTCCTCACACTTTTGAAACCCTTGTTCCTTGAAAAATTAATCAATCTTCAGATTTCAGGATCTGGGTGCTTGTTTCAATCCATACAAGGCTTTGTGTAATCTGAACACCATCCCTTCATGATTAATTTTCTTAAATCCAGGAGGTTGTGACATGTATGCCTCTTCTTGTAACGGGCCATTCAGAAATGCAGATTTTACATCTAAATGCATCAGAGGTCAATTCCTATTAGCAGCTATTGCAATCACTAGTCTGATTGTTTCATGTCTCGCTACAGGTGCAAACACTTCAGAGTAATCCTGCCCAGACGTCTGTAGAAAGCCTCTTGCTACTAATCTTGCTTTGTGTTTATGAATTGATCCATCTGGCTTTAGCTTCTGCTTGAAAACCCATCTGACACCGATGGCTTTCTTGCTTTTTGGAAGTTCGGTCAGCTTCCAAGTCTTGCTTTTCTCTATAGCATCAAGTTCTTCTTTCATGGCCTACAACCAGACTTACTGCTTAAGAGCCTCTTCCGTACTCACGGGTTCAAAGTTTACTAACATTGCACACTGAATAACTTCTCCTTCAGAGTCTACTTCAATGTCTTGTAGCATGTCAAACTCCGCAAATCTTCTTGGGATGCTTCTGACTCTTTGTTGCCTCTGAACTTGAACTTCAGAACCTCGAACACCAGAACTTTCCCCTTCAGAAGCTCTTACTTCAGAAATTGGACTTTCTCCAGAACTGTGACTGTCTTCAGAGTCTGGAAAATTCCCAGAGTCTGAATCACCATCAGAGTCAGAGTCAGAATCATCTTCACCTTCTAAAACTACTTCAGAGTCAGAGTCACCATCAAACTTGTCTTCAGAGTCAAAATCTTTACCACCTTCAGAAACACGTGTTTCTGACTTTTCTTCAAAAGTTCTCTCATTAGAGTCAGAACGAGACTTTTCCCAATTCTAGACTTCTGATTCTTTTACAATGACGTCTCTTCCGAACTCAACTTTGTTAGTTTTTGGACAATAAATTTTGTATGAACATGTACTCCCACCAGTAACATTACTTTACTTATATCATTAAGCTTTTGTCTTCTGGCTTCTGGGACATGTTTGTAACATACAGAATCAAACACCTTCAGATGACTAACACTTTTCTTTTCTCCAGTCCACTTCTGAATAGGAACTATTTCCTTCAGCTGCTTTGTTGGACATCTGTTGAGCACATAACATGCAGTGGCAACAACTTCTCCCCACAAAGTATAAGGAAGCTTCTTCTCTTTTCGCATGCTTCTAACCATATCAAGCAAAGTATGGTTTCTTCTTTCAGCAAGACCATTGTGTTGATGAGTATAGGGAGAAATAACCTCATGCTCATTTCCATTCTCCTCACAGAACCTTCTGAACTCTGTGGAGTTATACTCATCACCACCATCCGTTATAATAAACTTTAGAGTCTGGCCACTCTGATTCTCAACCTTCAGTATGAACTTCTTGAATTTAGTAAACACCTCGTGTTTGAACTTTATGAGAGATACCCATGTCATTCTGGTGAACTCATCAACAAATGACAAAGTATTTATTCCCTCCAATCGATGCTACTGGAAATGGACCACACACATCAGAATGCACTACTCTCAAGGCATACTTTGATCATGGAGCCACTTCTGACGCAAATGTAAATCTTGGTTGCTTCCCTTCCATGCATACCTTGCATGACTTCTCAGGCTTCTTGATTGTAGGAATTCCATGTACCAGCTTCTTCGATTTCAGATGCCCTAAGCTTCTGAATTTGTAACTGATAAAGCTTAATGATTCAATGGAAGAACCCCTTTGTTGATCCATGTGACTTCAGGAGATGCTTCGTAGTTTTTGGACTTGTCAAAGCATGTGGATGACCCTTGACTTCTCTTCAGACATACCAATTATGTTGATATGGAAATGGGGGAATTACCAATGAAAGTTGAAACTGAGGCGTTGCATAGGCTTGTATAGTGAAGGGATACCTTTTCTCCATAATAAGATTTTTAGGACTAAGATCCTTTGAATCTCCAATGTTTCACCTTTCCTTCACCAATCTAAGATTTTCTTGAAATGTTTGG